TATATATATATATATACTATATGAAAAATCCAATTTTTGGTACAGTAAAGTATTGATATATCCAATGAAAAAATCAAGAATCACAAGACTCGAATAATCATTTTTTATGTTATGTTATTTTATTTATATGTTATAAATGTATCCCATGTACTATACTGAAACGCAAAAGAAACGCAACATCCTATTTTAGGGGGAAATATTATATAATGGATATAATTTTGCATCTAAAAAGTAAGGACATGTTCAACTTTGCAAATATCGGTAATTTAACGGTTGAATGATTTTCAAACCATTACCGGAAGTTAAGTTTGAGTCCGCTTAACAGAAATAAAAAATTACATGTTTAACAAAACATTTGGCAATAATATGGGGTTTTAAATGTTTGTGTCTGTCCATCATAAGTAATGCAGCAATATTCCGATAAATAAATTCCCCTGTCTTTTCCGTAAGCGATGCCAAGGCTTCCTGAAAATGACTTAAGTACGCATTTCCATTGCTCTAGCTGGAAAATCTTAGAATAAAGGCGATGGAGAGTTGTAGATGCAAATATGCACTACATCACGCCTCAACAGGCTCTTACGTATCATTAGCATGAATGACAGTCCTTGGACCGGATGTCCAAGTGTTACCACACTGCGCTAGGCTAGAGAAAATTCGACCTCATCATCTGAAAAATATGCATTTAAAAATGGCGAAGAATATTTCCTTCGCTCAGATTTCGAGGTTGATGAACCTATTGCATCGTGAAAATCAAGCTGCAATTGTTGTGCATGGCAGTCTTGCACGCTGTAATTGAATGGCCGGGGTGGGGGGGGGGGGGTTAACAGTCATGAGTTACTTTCGAAAGTTAAAAGATAATCATTTAACATTTTTATCAAATCTCTGATGTTTTTTAATCGAGTTTTACCTGACTGCATTCATTTTTGAAAATCATAAGATAAAAAATTCAAATATTTGTAGATTACTGCTTGTTGCGTTTCTTTTGCGTTTCAGTATATTATTTTGGGTTGGGTGAATAAACTGAACTTGCACTTGAACTTGGGCGATTATCATTGGGTATTAATGAGAATGAATTATCATTAATACAATTAATTCCACTAACTTTTTGGTTACCCAGATCACGGAATATTTACTGTTTTGAAACTATGATGAATTGACGTTCGAGTTTGTTTTTTTACTAACTGATCACACGATTCTTCACACAGGGATTTTTTGGGAAAAATTTAAAGAAAATTCGATGCTGAAAGAATATATATTTCAAACATGCCACTACTCTAATTTTTGAAAGAACTTATAAATCGCAAGTTATCTAGCTTAATGCCGAGCAGCTAATATTGACTGCTGATAATAGCAGTATTGCTTCGGATGCTGCTTTTTCCTTCATTATCAGCAAAAGTGACCATTTAGGTGCTTAGAGAGTAGCTTTTTTCGTAACTTTAACAAGCATTTTGAGAGTATTGCATATGCAATGCTAGCACCCTACCGGCAAATGTTATCTGGTTCTCCTAAAAAATTGAAATGCCCGTAATTCCGTCAAAACTCTTGAAAGCGGAAATTCAAACTTGATCTGTAACTTATAGTAAAGGTAGACTCACATACCAAACATCAGTTCAATATTTGCAAGCTGTAGAAAAAGGGCGGAAAATTCAAGTGCCATGGGAAGGACTTACAGAGGGACAGACAGGCAGACAGTTGAGGAAAGAACCGTTTTTACCAGTAGGGGACTAGTTTTTAGCTTAACGAATCTTGCACAGATGTTACATGGAAAGAAAAGATACAAGACATTCTTAGGATACTGCTTGAAATACATTTTCTGAATGAGTGAGAGCATTAGATCAGTTATTCCTCTCATCAGCTGGATTTATACGCGCAACTATTCAATAAAGGAGAGCAATAATTGATTTGATGCGCTTGTCAATTGAATCGAAGATAGGCCTATCAAATGAATACAGTGGCGGAAAATTTACTCGCAAAGAATCAATTTAGAGATTGTCTTAAAAAAGATTTTTTCCGTTCTTTCATTAAAAGAAAGTATCGTTCATTCCATTATTAATAATAAAAAATGAATTGATGATGTCCTTGATTATTAAAAGATATCTTCAATTATCGACTCTGAGATTAATGTTAATTAGAGTTTAACAGTGCGACATTTAACTCCGGACACGACATTTGTCCGGACTTTCGCCAACCACTTTTCCAAAGATATGTGGAAACCATTTATGTCATCTGATGGGATTTTTTAAAACTTAACACATGAACCAAAATTTACACCTGATTATCTTCTAGGTAAAAAGATATTACACCTGAAACCAAGAAATCCCATGGGATAATGGTGGGATTTTTTCTCCTAACCAATATCCCACCATTATTCTGTGGGAGAAAAAGGTATTCTGTGGGATTTTTTCTCCCATAGAAGTTTGAAAATCCCATGAATGCTTTATAATGGGACAAAATCTCCCATATACTTGTATATAGAAGATAATCTCCCATCTCTTTATAAATGTGGGATTTATCCCATATTCATTACAAAATAGAAAAAAATTCTCCCATGGGATAAAGAAACAACAGTTTTAAACCAAATAAAGAAACTATTGAACAGTTTAACTACTATTAATTATTTATTTTCATTTAAGTTATGTGTTTCCTAAACCATTTTTTTTTTTAATTTCTTAAAATTAACCAATTTTGGGGTAATGTTTAATTTTTTCAATGATTAAAGATCAAAAAATCAAAAGTGGTTTTATCTCTATAACTTTCAGTTTTTTTTTTTTTTTTTTTTTTTTTTTTTAAGTAAAAAGGCAATTTCCCTTGTATGTAGATTACCTTCTTTTATTCCTTGTATGTAAATTTTGAATGGGAAAAATAAAAAATGCAATTAAGGAAGAACAAATCTTTTTATGTTTATTTTCCTCCTAATCATTTAGGTTAATTTATTGCATAAGTGCCATTTGTCAAGCTTTACAACATGATCAGATCCATGCACGTTGTTAGATCTTTGCCTGTTTGCTGCACTAAACTGATAGGTTTCCAATTAAAAAATCACATGAAATTGGGTCGTATCAGTCACTCTGAGATTCTTAAGAGAGTTTTAAAACTTATTTAGATGCACAAACTGTAATAATTTACCTAATTTTTACTTTTAATTTTCTTTGTATGATCCTGATCATGCCTTGTTTTGTTCCAATGACAGCTGGAAATTATTTTACTCATAACGAACCCGATCTGACAAATGAACAGAAAATAATGTTGAAAAAAATTCAACCATCTTCATTATGCACATTTACTGGTAGTTTGCATTAAAAATATTTAACAACCTTTTCACTAATTTCAAAACTTTCTACCTACACCTACTAAACATATCAAGAATTTTTGACAGTTCATTGAACCCGTTCAAAAATAAACATGATGAAAGGGCATGGATCCAGAAATATTTGCGGTGGTACTCTACTCATTGTTTCATATCATCCAGTAGAAAACAAGTTTTCCTTAGTTCTGTTACTTCTTTAATAAAAGCACTCTGCTGATCTTTTACTTGTTATTTTTTGGTACATATAATAACCATGCACCATTGACATGTATTCAACTGATAATAGCCAAGTCACCTTAGGCCATTGCAAGTTTCTTCTTTGTTAAACGTCAGCATGCACCTTGTTTTGGACACCCCATAACACATAAAATAAGAGGTCCAGGCCACAGTTAGTTAATGCTCACTGTTAATACCCACGCGGATGCAAATATAGCAGAATGATATTGGGTACATGTATTAAACTTTTACCTCAGCAATCTACGTGTAATTTAAATAAGATGTTAGATCCGCACGCATACTCGCTAAACTGACTGTAGTGACTATGTGAGCGGATCTAACATCTAATTTTAACTAGATTGGTACTTAAGTGGCTTAAATTTATTCAACTTCTTTCAGGAAGATTTTCAATTTTCTTGTCATAAATGCATATTGTCAATTATTATGCTTCCTGTCAGTTTGTCTCTACATAACCCATACCCTACTATTCTTGCATAGTGTTCAAAGGATTTAAATAGCATAAGCATACTATGCCGAAATAGTGCACGACTTCATTTTCTGAAGAAAAACTGACTGCGCCCACACCTGGGAGCGAACTCACAACCCCGAGATTGTCATTCCGACGCGCTACCGATTACAACACAGATGCCGTTATAAATATCAATGTACTATAATATATATAAACTTAGTTTCAAATATTTTACACTTAAGTAGCTGCAGAACTGTAGCTCTCAGAAAAAATATATGTTGACAGACCAGAGAGCTACAGTGCCACCCATTGAAAAAACTGTATATTTATTGCGCACAAAAAAGTGCGCTCGGTTCTGAATTAATTCTTCGAAATTCTTACCTCAATTGAAAAAAAAGCTACATTTCAAAAAAGTCCTTACTCCTCTATAACTTTCGTAGTTTACACTTGTACTAAGTACGTTGGACCGAATTCTCGTGAAGACCAAAATGGCAGTATAAATAGGCAAAATTTTCAATGATTTCAATTTCAGGGCCAGGAGGGCTGTTAAAAACAATTATAAGGAATGTTTTATTGTGGAAACAGTGAAAGAATATGTTAGAAACACACGTTTAGTAATATTTTGAGATGACAGTTTTAAAAACACTGAGAAATAAATCGAGAAACAGTGCACAAAAAGTGCACAATAAATATACAGTTTTTTCTATGGGTGGCACTGTAGCTCTCCCGTCTGTCAATATATATTTTTTCAGAGAGCTACAGTTCTGCAGCTAACACTAACAAAATAATTCTTCTAAAATAGTTTCTTGCAATTGACCCCATCACTCAACTACTATTCTCTAAAACTATCTGTACATTATACCTAAAGCCTCCGGCTTGTGCACCATGTGTCAAACCCTGACTACTTTTTAAGAATAGTGCATGCAAAATACAACACTATTATATAAATATGCACACTTCATGAGTTCCCTAGTTCATTGAATAAAGGTACACATACCTTCATTTTACATTTAAGGACATACGCAAGATACCTTACCTACTGATAATTTTTCAAGATATTCTAAATTTAAACTTATAATACATGTACCATATAACATATTTTTAAACAAAAAATCAGCATGCATTTCCAGGGATTTTGAAAAGATATTAAAGTTTGAAAAATTTTGCATTATTCAAAGAAAAATGTACAAAAATTACAAAACATAAATTCCAGATTTTTTTTATCAAAATTGTTTTAGAAGAGATTTACAAATCCATATATAGACAATAAAAATATTGCACACAGGTCCTTCATTTAGTGGAACTCTTCAACTCCAGGGAAGAACCCAATAAAGTGCAAACTACGTTGCGTATGACCTTAAATGCCCGTTTATATAAGAGAAAAATAAATTAAAGAACTTGTTCTAATTAAAATAATGAAAAAAAAATCCTTATTTAAGCCTTTAAGTTTAATTTTTAATTAAGAAATTTGACAGATGAATAAGAAGAGTAATATACAATATAATACTTCTTAAATTAATTCTCTTGCTTCCATTCATTAGATATTCAATATTCGAGTCAACATTTTATACATGAATGAATTATCAAAAGTTTTGTCCTTAAAGTTTTCAATGGATCCACAGATCATGAGGTGATGTCTCCTTTTATGTGTATGTATCTGTGTACACTGAAAAAAAAAGAAAGTCGCTGTGTGATGAAAAGGATAAACCAGAAGTCTCTGATGAGACTGTAGCTCTCCTGGTCTATATGTATAACAAAGAAAAAGTAACACTTGGATTTGAAACTTTGCAACAGACAGCAATAAATAGAATTATGTATCTAAGTGTAGTCTACTTGTGTGCCACATTATATTGAAATCATACCAAAATTGTAGGTGGAGTAGCGTTTTAAAGGAATTTTACAGAAATTTCTATTTTTAGTAACCATGGCAGCACCGTTCATTGAAATGTACCTTAGTGCAGTCTAAGTTATATTGAAATCAGAATAAAACTGTAGGAGGAGTAGTGTTTTGAAAAATTACAAACAGATGGACAGCTAGACAGACAGACAACTAGACGCCATGGACAGACAGACAGACGGACAGCTAGACGGATGGATGAGGGACACCTTCCTATCCCATAAGCTCTTCTGGTCTCTGACCAGTAGAGCTAAAAAAAATATCAAATTTGATTTTTTTTCAATGTTAAAGAAATAAAACTGCAAAATTAAATTGTAAAAGGTTGGTTGCGTACTAATTATTCAGTTTTTGTTGTATGGTTTGAAAAATTTTATTATTCATTCTCTCTATTTTCACAAAGAATTACCTTTGCATTTCTTGTATCTACAAGGGGGACAAATCTTCAAGTGGTACATGTACACTATATGTCAGCTACTATACCTTCATTTTCTGTTAAAGAAAAAAAATAGAATAAATCATACAATACCAATTACATGTATAATAACAAAGCATGGATTAAATTTTTCACTAAAATTAGAAAATGGATTGAATATCGATCACTGAAATTTCTCGATCCAGCCAAAATGACTGACGCTAAAATTTACCCCTACTGAGGTCGAAGTATAAAAGTATAAATTATTTTTATCTATCAATATACCATAAATGAAACTTTGTGCATGTTCTGCATTCATTTACCGGTATCTGTATATAGTAGTTTTATGCCCTTGAGAATTTTTCATGATGTCATGCCATAATATTTCCATGTCTGTTTTTTTTTTCTCTGTGGAAACTCTTTGAAAGTTAGCGGAATTGATTTCTTGATAATTCTATCGGAATGTAAATTAGGCAGGTCGATAGGTCAGGAGCTAAGAAGGCCTAATATGCATGAAAATCTCGTGCGCACCTGTCTCTGTGTCTGACGCTAAGGAGGCTAAATATGCATGTAAATCTCGTGCGACTACCATTGTGTTTGACTTCAGTGGGTGAGGACTATTGAAATTGGCATGGGAGTCCTTGTGTAATTTAAATCTATGTCTACATTAACATTGCAGGTTATCCTGCAACATGCACGAGAATGCAGTCTTTATTTCTTAAACATCCAATATCCTATCAATTCTAATAAAAAATCATATTATTAGTAATAAAGCTAGAACTTTTTTTTATTTCATTTCCAATTAATAGAAAAAATATTTTTACAAATAAATATGTAAAATAAAAAAGTCCTAGCATTTTTGTCTTTTATAATTTACTTACACATAAGCATCTACATGATGTATATTTTTTCCCCTCAAAAGAACATGAACATAACTTAATAATGATATTCCTAAGTATGTATTCATGGTATAAAAAATGAGTTTAGCAGTATAAAGATTGATTTTTCACTCAAAGTTTTAAGACTGTTTTTCAGAGATTAAAAAAAAAACATTGATTATATCAATAATCATGTGGGTACATGTCCTATGTAAACTTCAGAGGATCAACCAATTTTCTAACAGAGAATTAGTAATTTGATATTTGGATACTTCCAAACAATATAAGTAGGAGTTTTGGGGGTTATTAATTATGTCCATCATGACATGTACTATAAGCACTGACCCCCCATATCTCAAAATTTATCTTGACACCAAAAAAAAAAAAAATAGTACTTGCAACACATGCAATGTTTGTTAATCCCTAGTACACTACAGTAGTAGGATACTTTTAACCATGTCTGAGAGAAGATAATTAATTTTCTAATCAGTAATGCTGATGACTGTGATCAAGATACTTATAAATTGTAACTTGCAAATTACAGACAAATTTAGACATGACAGTATAATTTTTTAAGTACAATCATCAGCTAGTGTACACATTGAGAATATTCGAACGAACGAATACTAGCCTACAACGTTGTCATTGAGGAAATTCGAACGAAAGAATAATATTCCGATGTGTATAATTTTCTGACGATTATTTACTTTGTTAACTTGTATAATGTACTACTGAATAACCCCATCGACTGCTAGCTCTGCAAACACTTTACAGTGACAGAAATTCATAAGATTGTTTCATCAGTTAACGAGGAATCAGGCTGATCTATAGATCTTTAGACTTCAAAAAAAAAAAAGAATCTATGAGCCATGTATTAACATGCTTTAAATGAAATAAATAACAAATTCAATAATTCTAGATCTACTTACAAAAATAGAGCAGGTCTTCGTCATAATTTTGTTTACAAACATCATGTGGAAATTCCAATATCCTCATAATCTTGTCGCCGTTTTTTTTTCTTTGGTTGGTATTGGGTAATTCTAGGAATATAATGCATCCGTCTGCACAGAATTTTTAAGAAGTGAATCCATAGATAGAATATTACTGCTTCTTTTTATTTATTGGTTTATCTTTTTTTAATTTAAACAATGCATAGTTCACGAGAAAACAAAGAAATGAAATAAATTATCAGGCCTATTTTTTTCAGATTTTTTTTGTTGTTGTTGTAAATACTGCCATGGGTAATAATGGTAATTAAAATGCCCAATACCAAAAATATTAACATTTTATATAAATGGGACATCATCATGATCATTGAGAACATGATAAGAAGGAGGAAGGGTAGTGGACGGGTGGGTAGTCTCTCTGTATCTCTAAAATAAAAATTAATGTTTCCCTTGAAAAGTCAAGAAAATTTTATTTGCATGGTCAGTGGGATATTCAGTACAAGTTTAAAAGTCCAGTCAGTACATAGCCTCAATAAAGCCCCTTCTTCTTCTTTTAATTCACGACATTTTGATATATTGTTAACTTTCTATGATGTTCAAAATTGTATCATTCACCAACCATCCTTCATGTGATAATCAATAGTAACCTATAAATTTTTGTCACTTCAAATCCCATTTTTGTGAAACGTAGAATGAAAAATCAAAAGCTATACGAGCATTCATTTTACTTTCATAAACATGATTCAAGTTTATATTTTCGAATTTTTTGACAAACGTTTGTTTGTATCATCTGTCCTTAAGGGGGGGGGGATGCAATTTTATATTAATTGTTTGCTATCAATTATGAACGATGTAAAATTGTTTGGATTTAATTTTTAAATTGAAAATGAAAAAAAAAATTATGACTTAATCCAAAGGTTTAGTAAAAGCATGGAGTTTGTTTTTCATGAATTTCTATTGTAGATTCATTTGTTAAATCGACTTGCTGTGTGTTAATATCCCTTGTGTATGTTTTGTTAGTTCCAAGCAAATTGTGACAGTTTTGCTACCTGGGGAAAACAAAAGAGTTAGACTCTTAAATGCCTCTAGGTATATACATACATGTATCATACCCTATGGAGATCTGGGGTGAAGATATTGGTTTCTTGGAAGTTAGCAAGGGGAGGGGGGGGGGGGTAGGTTTAACAGCAGACTTAAGTTGCTTTATTAGTATTCAAACATTTACTGCAAGATTAAGAAAAACAGGTAATACAACAGAAGTTGATTATTTTTCTGTGAAATCAAACTCAGATGACAAATATCAAAAAAAAAAAAAAAAAAAAAAAAAAAAAAAAAAAAAATCAGATTGAGCTTAACTTGGGATCGACACCCCCGTCCAAAAATATAGTCCCGTCCAAAGCTAAAGCGTTTAGAAGTCAGCAGAGTCAATATCTCGAAGTGGGTCTTGTGACGCATTTATGAATATGTCCTATTATTGTTTTTTATCGATAAAATAAAAATAAATCATTTATAAAATTATAGCTTTAACTATAGCTTAAAGAATATCTATGTCCGATCTAGGACACTATAGCATAATACGATACTCTTTACAGAGTTATGTCCCTTTCTAGAATGTAAGTTATAGATTTTAAATACTTATGGTCTTTACGTTTACGTGATTTATTTTTTTCATCTAAACAATAATAGCCAATGTAACTTTTATTTTAAGAAACTTTGGACGAAAAGGAATTTTTTTAAAAGTTTAGTAGAAAAAAATGACAATTTATAGATCCTTGATTTAAATTATAGTAAATAGTCAAAGCGGTCCCCTTAGGACTGTTGGTATATAAAGAAGATAATATGTCATTCTACTATATAACTTCGATCACCTTGTTTTAATGTTATCCTGTAGATCACATTCGCATTTAAAAATATCTTTCGTGGAAAACCAAACTGATTAAATTGTAAATAGTAAAAATGATTAAAAATATATAATTTGATATTTGAAAGTTAATGATGTACCAAATGTAAATTCCGTGTGAAAAGTATACACATATACTTAACTTTCCTATCAATAATCTTGTATTCAAAGTGTACAAACAGTACATTTCAGATACTAGATGCAGGACTTGTGAAATAAAACAAAGGGCTAATTGCAGCCATATGTCTGCCGATAAGGCCACTGTTGTTTAATTTCAAGTCTATTTCAGGTTTTTTTTTTTTTTTATATACATGTATTGAAATCTTACGAGATTGTACAAACTTAGCACTGCACATCAACACCAAATACAGAGTAAGAGTGGAAAGCTAACGATTCACACATTTTATCGTTATTCAGTAAAACAAAAAATAAAATTAAAACAATTTTAAAAAATCAAGCAGAAGAAATGTTGCCCCCATATGCAGACGTCTCTTTTACGCTACGAATATTATGCAACAAAATTATAAAAGTTGTATGCTTCTATAAATTCTTCATCAGTTGAGCCCACCTCCTTACATGTACCCCACCCCATCTCAAAAGAGTACTGAAATTGCTTCCAAAGGCTTGATTGTATTTCAGTATCTTTGATTTGCTGAAGAATTTTCAAGAGATCTAGAGTAATTTATTGATTCTGGAAAATCTTATAATAATGTTGTAAAAGAGTGATCAAATTTGAAATCATTGAATGGATTCCAATTTCACACCTTTGAAAATATATTGTAAAATTTAGCCTGAAGGGAATATTCTCACACCTTTTTTTTCTCCCAGAACTTCAATGTAAACAGTGATATACACATATATTCAACAATTCATCTCCACACCGACTGATGATGACTCGAGCCATTTCCTGTTTATTATCAATTTGTGTATATACTTTGTTTTGGAGTACCTACTCTAAAAATTATTTTAAAACATTTTCCAAGAAAAAAACAACAACATTTTAAAGTGTTGATTAATGGACATACAAAAATATGTATAGTTATTAATAGTTTTTTTTTTTTACTGCAAAACAATGAAGATGACAATGGCTAATAATTAGTAAATATAGTTAACCTTGTTAATTAAGTTTAGGTAACAACATGTTGGACTAATTATGTTGTTAGTGCTATTATCACATGAAAACAGTTATTGGTATCTGTTTCAAAAAAAAAAAAACAAAAAAAAATTCAAAATACATGTATTTGAATGTACACATGAGGCTTCATGGTTTGCTCATTCAAAGATCTGTTGCAACTCATTTTCATAATTAAAAACCATCATTTATTCAACATTTTATTTTTTTCTTATTTAACAGATTAAAAATATATATTCATAAAATATACTTTTCTAACATTTCAATTTAATTTTACCAATTTATATATATGCATACATATAATATGACCTTTCCTATTACAATGCATTCAGTACTGTCTTTTATGGTGCAGATTACAATCACTTACAGAATTTAGACTCAATTTACCAGAAATTGTATCTTTCATTTCATAACTAATTGTTTGGGAAATTTAATGATAATAATAAGTGTATAAATTAAATGAAGAATATCTAACTGTGCCATATTTCATCGTAAGTTTTTGTATGAAGAAAAACTATATAGGTATACATCTCAGCTCTTTGATTCATTCCTTGAAAAAATTATCAATATAATTACAATCCTTTAAATTTAAAAATGACCCAAAATTTAAAGTTATACTGATATAGAAAAGAGTAGAAATTCTGATATTGTAAAAATTAAGACTTCAATTTTCGTAGGGAACATTTGCCATGTTAATTAAACTCACCTAATCATACTGGTGTGTTCTCTTAAATGGCTATATATAACTTTTTTTATTTCTCAATGAAATTTTGCCAATTTGGAATTATTTTGCTTGCAATAGCATGTACTTTCTACATGTAAAGTGATAAATTATAAGAGGACTAAAATTTTCATATGGAGAATCCATCATCATGTCATATATATTACTCGTTAATCATACTAGTCTGGTGTGTTCTCTTGAATGGCCATAACTTTTTTATTTCTGAATGAAATTTTGCCAATTTGATATTATTTTGCTTGCAATAGCATGTACTTTCTAAATATAAAATGATAAATTGTAAAAGGACTGACATTTTCATAGGAAGAATCCATCATCATATTATACTCTGTCAATCGTACTGGTATGTTCTCTTGAATGGCCATAACTTTTTTATTTCTGAATGAAATTTTGCCAGTTTGATATTATTTTGCTTGCAATAGCATGTACTTTCTAAATGTCAAATGATAAATTGTAAGAGGACTGAAATTTTCATAGGGAGAATCCATCATCATATTATACTCTGTCAATCGTACTGATGTGTTCTCTTGAATGGCCATAACTTTTTTATTTCTGAATGAAATTTTGCCAATTTGATATTATTTTGCTTGCAATAGCATGTACTTTCTAAATGTCAAATGATAAATTGTAAAAGGACTGAAATTTTCATAGGGAGAATCCATCATCATATTATACTCTGTCAATCGTACTGGTGTGTTCTCTTGAATGGCCATAACTTTTTTATTTCTCAATGAAATTTTGCCAATTTGATATTATTTTGCTTGCAATAGCATGTACTTTCTAAATGTCAAATGATAAATTGTAAGAGGACTGAAATTTTCATAGGGAGAATCCATCATCATATTATACTTTGTCAATCGTACTGGTGTGTTCTCTTGAATGGCCATAACTTTTTTATTTCTCAATGAAATTTTGCCAATTTGATATTATTTTGCTTGCAATAGCATGTACTTTCTAAATGTCAAATGATAAATTGTAAGAGGACTGAAATTTTCATAGGGAGAATCCATCATCATATTATACTCTGTCAATCGTACTGGTGTGTTCTCTTGAATGGCCATAACTTTTTTTATTTCTGAATGAAATTTTGCCAATTTGATATTATTTTGCTTGCAATAGCATGTACTTTCTAAATGTCAATTGATAAATTGTAAGAGGACTGAAATTTTCATAGGGAGAATCCATCATCATGTCATATTACTCCGTTAATCGTACTAGTCTGGTGTGTTCTAATGAATGGCCATAACTTTTTTATTTCTCAATGAAATTTTGCCAATTTGGAATTATTTTGCTTGCAATAGCATGTACTTTCTACATGTAAAGTGATAAATTATAAACAGACTAAAATTTTCATACGGAGAATCCATCATCATGTCATATATTACTCGTTAATCATACTAGTCTGGTGTGTTCTCTTGAATGGCCATAACTTTTTTATTTCTGAATGAAATTTTGCCAATTTGATATTATTTTGCTTGCAATAGCATGTACTTTCTAAATATAAAATGATAAATTGTAAAAGGACTGACATTTTCATAGGAAGAATCCATCATCATATTATACTCTGTCAATTGTATTGGTATGTTCTCTTGAATGGCCATAACTTTTTTATTTCTGAATGAAATTTTGCCAGTTTGATATTATTTTGCTTGCAATAGCATGTACTTTCTAAATATAAAATGATAAATTGTAAAAGGACTGAAATTTTCATAGGGAGAATCCATCATCATGTTATACTCTGTCAATCGTACTGATGTGTTCTCTTGAATGGCCATAACTTTTTTATTTCTCAATGAAATTTTGCCAGTTTGATATTATTTTGCTTGCAATAGCATGTACTTTCTAAATGTCAAATGATAAATTGTAAAAGGACTGAAATTTTCATAGGGAGAATCCATCATCATGGTATACTCCATCGATAGGAATTGGTGTGTTCACTTAATTAAATTACCATAACTTTTTGTACTTTTCAATGAAATTTAGCCAGTTTGGAATAGATTTTTTTGTCATAGCATTCACTTAGTAAATCAAACCTAATAAATGAATTTGTGTATATTTTTTGAAACATTAAGAAAATGACCTTCTTGGAGAGGACTTATATAGGCCATGCCTGATGTCCAATCCAATTATGTAAACTGACTTTACATAATAAAATACTGATTAAATTAAATGACCAATGGGAGACTTTTTTTCTACTCAAGACCAGGTTTTAAAATTTAAATAAATTATTTGAAAAGGGAGAGCTTTATCTGCCTTATAAATACAGTCATAATTACTATTCAAAAATAGAAATTAAGTTTTTAAAGTCAGATACCTGCATGCATATAACATATGAATTTATTTGACCCCTAAATTCATCTGTGAAACCTGAGTGGACTACAATTTTTTCTCCTTTTATTTCATGCAAATTCACTAGGCTGAGTACTTTTATTTGATAACGCTCTCCGAGTGAAAACGCTACCATGATTAAAAATAATTCAACATTCATTTAAAGTAGAAAAATATAGTCGTTATAGAACAATTGAATACTTTATTTAGAATGAAACGAAACGCCCGGAGTGAATCCAAATAGTCGCGACGAATCCACCCAATACCGATCAAGATCTCCACTGCGCTTTGTATTCGTAGTAAAATTACACATTCTGTAAATGCATTGTTGCAACTGTGATGCAAGAACAGGGAAAGATGCAGTCTGCTGAAAGGATTAATTCACGTACTTTTAAATCAATTTAGTCTCATTTATATTCATTTTATTGAGCTATTGGTTTAATACGTAATGCTTGAATTAGTCCACAATCACCTCAGCGCAATTAATAAGTCAAAAAGAAAGGTGCTTTAGTTCAGTTCAGTTATGGAATTCCCTCCTATGTATAAGGAGCACCCGAGGAGGTGGTTTCATAAAATACATTTAAAGGTCGGAAGTATTTCAGCACTTATAATTATAACCCATTACAAACCTATTTCAATGATATTTACAAAAATATTTTAGTTACCATTCATTATGAAATCATTTCAAGATAGATCCATGCAGAAGTCTATTTAAGGTTTATGATAAACACTGATAAAATTAAAGAATAACAATTTTATATCTAGACCACAGCATGTATATAATATGACAGTAAAGTTTTTTTTATAGTGATATAAAGCTAGAGTAGAAATATTAAAGTAATGATTTTAAAATGTTAAGTTTGCAATGAATTATATGGCAAAAAGCTTTCAAAAATAATTTTGACCCTTGACTGTATTAGATTAAAAGAAGATGGACTGTTTTTCCCTGTACATTAAAGAGATAAAAACAATTTCCATTCTCCTGTAGGATAAAATATTCTATAAATCATTTTGTTAGAGAACTTTTAATCCTATTAGTGACAATTATAGAACTTCTTGTCCTATTTCACAAATTATGGGATAAAAAATCCCATGTAAGGTTAAAAATGGGAGTTTTGCTTCTATAGGAGAAAAAATCCCACAGAACTCATTTTTCTCCCACAGAATAATGGTGGGATATTAGTTAGGAGAGAAAATCCCACCATAATCCCATGGGATTTCTTGATTGCAGGTGTAATATCTTTTAATCTAGAAGATATTCAGGTGTAAAGGTTAGTCCATGTTGTGCGATTAAAAAAATCCCACCAGATGACATAAATGGTTTCCATGTATCTTTGGAAAAGTGGTTGGCGAAAGTCCGGACAAATGTCGTGTCCGGAGTTAAATGTCGCACTGTTCTATGAAAACCTTCAAAAATACATGTATTTTCCAATGAACTTGATCATTATAAAATTTGAAAAAATATAATTATGGTGCTAAGTTTCAATAAATTTTATTTACCAGTATGTAATATAAAAAAAGAACCAAGTGAGTCTGTATGTTTTGATAATCACTGCTCGCTGACACGGACATTAAGCACAGAGAGGACTTTGGTCACTAGCCCTTGTTTCTTGTCTTTCGTTCTACATTGGACACCCCTGTTCTTCAGCCACGACATCATTGTCACACTGTTCACTTTATTTAACTGTAAAAAATGTTACCAGTAAAAGTAAAGAATTCATGTATTACAGATAAGTGAATAGATCCCCAAACCCCGTAAGTATGTATCAAATAAAATCATCGTGAACTTCACAATAAAAAATAAATATTAAAACAATGATGTCTAATGAATAATTCATTTACTTTCGCTGAAGTCCCAATTGAAATAAAAACTTTATGGCAAATGCTAAATGTAAGAAAAAACTAGATGCTGTCATACGACCGTAATACCCGCATATAGGTGTTTGCCTCGGTGTACACACTTTCATATTTTGGTAACAAGGGAAGAAGAAAAATTAATTCTATAATTTACAAAAAAGTCGGTTTTCGACCCCAATCACCCCCAGGGTGAAAATCGAAATTCTGAAACTTTATTGCATATCAGTAATAATCCAAAATATGAATGGGATACCGCGAAAAATGTAAGAGGTGTTCAGGGAGCCAGGTCTTTGTAGAAAAATGACGTTTTTCAACCCCTACTTGGCCTTTAACTGAAAAATAAAAATCCTAAAACCTTATTGCACATCTACAGGACACCACCTATTATATTCCTAAAGATGAATTGGCTACTGCAAAATTGTAAAAGGAATTCAGGGAACCAGGTTTATTGATTCCAAATCGCCCCCAGGGTGAAAATCGAAATTCCGAATTCTTAATGCGCATCTACAGGACACTCTCAATCATATCCCAAAATATGAATGGGCTACTGCGAAAAATGTAAGTGGAGTTCAGTGAACCTGGTTTTATAGAAAACCACTGTTTTTAACCCCTCCCCTTTCCCATTTGGCCCCCAGGGTAAAAATTAAAGTTTCAATATCGTTTTGCACATGTTCAAGGCACTACCAATCATATTCCAAAAGATGAATTGGCTACTGCTTAAAATTAAGAGTAGTTTGAGGAAGAAATTAGTGTGACAGACGGACGGATAGACCAGGATAACAATATACCCGAACTTTCTTTAGAAAGTGCGGGTATAAAAACGAAGTAAAAACTACCGGACACGACCCTCTACTTTTATAGCATTGTAAGGAATCCTCAGTGCATGAAAATAATGAGGGCATCCTTAGAATCTGAGGGCAAAGCAAAACAGAAATTTTTAGTCATCCACTTTTGGCACATTGTTTCCCTATAATACCATGTGTGAAACTAACGTAAGGTATGTCTTTCAGTGTTTACATGAATCAGTAATTGAAATAGTTTTACAATGAATGAAATGAAACGACAAAGAAACAAATGCATACATCAGTTCAAGAACATCACCAACTCTTAACACTTTGCCCCAATAAAAGTGGAAACAAAAAGTGTTGATGGACAATTTTAACTTCTATATACAATACAGGGTATACCTGTCCGTCTCTAGCCAGGGCCTCTACGTCCACATTCTGTATCGTTGTCTTAGATCTGGGCTTCTTGGATACAATGTCTGGTTGCTGAAAAGACACTGAAAATTAGCACAGTTCATGATATACAAACAATATCGTCAACTAGAAACTGACACAGAGAGGACCCTGCAAAGGACAGTCAAAGGAAAGTAACGCCTGTACTTAATACAGTAATGTTTAGAACAAAATATTACTCAAAGCAAGGTGACATGGAATCTCTCATACATGTATGTGTTGGAACCATCGTCAAAAACCACGTCCAAAATGTACGATCCTCTCCCATTCTGGAGAGAGCTATAAGCGGACTCTGGACCGTGGCTTAAGAAGATGGTGTTGGAACATATATACAAAGTTTTACGTCAATCAAACGAATGTAGCGGTTAGTACAGAATTTGTACACAAACTTTTTGAACAACCCTTGTACAGACAGACAGACAACGTGTTAGGGCCTCAAAATTACTAATCTTGGTGTCTCCATATAATTGTAAAGTACTTCTGCTCGAGGTTTGATAACTGTTAAGAGTTAGTGTTAAAAAAGTGTCCTACAGTCAAAATGATATGACCCCAAATGTATAGGTTATAGTAAATTACATGTACTTCTGTTCAAAATTTGAATGGAAACGTTGAAACTACATTACTGCATCACAACCAAAATGTCATGGATATATGTTTAGACACACATGCAAACAGACATACAAATAAAGTAATATGACCCCAAAAGCTATGGCTATGTCTTACCCTTATAGTAAAAATACTTTTGGTCAAAATTTGTAAGTGTTACATTCAAAACAGTTTGGGCTATTGTGTCACAATAAAAATATCATGCACATATATACTCGTATCCAGATACACACACGGGCAGACAGACAGACAAATAAATTGATATGACCCCAAAATCTATAGGTATATTGCTGTTACAGGGTAAGAGTGAAAAGTATTTGTGTATAAAATATGAAAGTGTTGAAAACTTTTTTTAGTTAATCATGTCACAACAAAAATGTTACGGATAGAGGGACGGACGATGTGATTCCTACAGGGCTCCTGCCTTTTTCTAGGGACTCGTTATCCAACTGTACATTAATCTGAACAAATTATCCGCATGTTACCTCATTTATTGATCTCTTTTTAATACAAACAGATGTTGACTTCATGAAATCGTCATCTGAATCCTGGTCATTAATGTCCCCTGTCTGAGATATGGGAGTGGATCTCTGACTTCGTCCACTTTCAAACTTCAGTAAAGTTGACGACACTTCTGGATTTGTGTTTGGTGTACATGTACTCCGGCAAACTTTAGTGGAGATGATTTGAGAGGGGGTTCTTTGACTAACTCCTTGAGACAGAGAGGGTGTTAAAACTGGTACTGGTCTAGATGGTGTAGATGGAAGAGGATGTGATGAGTTTGTACAATTTTCTCGTCTCAGCAAAGTTGGTGTGAGTGGATGCTTGATGTCTACATACATATATATGTATAATCATTTATGCAATAAATCGAACTTCTATAAAATGATCCTAACGCATAATACATAAAATACACTTCAAGTAAACCAATATCTAGACTACTAGTTACAATGTATATACATTTTCTTCTAAGTAGATACATGTAATAACACTGTTTATATTTAATTCGCGCTTGAATGAACAGTCCCTCTCCACCACCCCACCCCATGTCCCCCAATAAATGAAGTGACTTACTTTTGTTGAGTTGTTGACTTGCAACCTGGCCAGTGGATGCCATCATCATATCGGAGATTTTGGAGGCAACAGTTGATCTTGGTATAGAAGCCTTGAACAAATTGCAAGGTACAATCTTCTCATTGAATACAGGGAAAAAAATGAAATACCTTTCAAAGTACTACAAACTACAATAACATTAGACTTACGCTTTTTGATACAATTGGTTGTGTCCTTTTTCCAGTACTTGGGTCTTTCTGTACCTTTTTATCACTCCCTTTTGTTTGTCCACTGGCTACCTTCCCTTTGAATACTGGAACAATTCTGGGTGGTTGTGAATCTAAACTTGAGATGGTCTTTGTCACAACATTACTGGGTTTCTTGACGGAGAACCTTGGAATAATCCGTTCTTCTCTCAGACTGGCAATACATGTATCAGAGTTTGCTGTTTGAATAGAGGGCATCACTTGTCCGTCATGAGTGTTCTGAGATGCCAAATGTGTCTGCTCTGAATTGAAAACTTTTGGGATTTCACTCGTATCTGGACCAAGAGCAGTTTTACCTTGAGTTCCTTGCGTTTTTCTGAATGGATCTTGAGCACTTCCAAAGAAGCAGCCTCTTTCTAAGGTTTCAGTGTTTCTTTTTGTTACATTGTCTGTTTTAGTGTGTGCGTCGCCCGACAATTTATCTGATGATCTGGCGGAGGGTACAGGTGCTCTACTTTGAGATGAATTCTGGGAAGGAAGTGGGAAGTTCCTGTAGATAAGTTTTCCAGGAGTCTTGCATTTCTGTCCCAGATTACTGCTATCCGTCTTCTCTTGCTCCTTCTAACCAAAGAAAACAAATTAACTAAATGTACACTTTGATAAGTATCCCATTAAGAAATATTAGTTCTGCATATTTTTTAAAATTATTTTATTAATTTATTTATTTTGCAAAATTATTGTGACGGCGACTGTGCTTATATAGGAGGTGAACAAAACACCAAAAAACTTGTGTTCACCATATTTAGTATTTGCACCTCCAAGCTATTCAAGCAAAGAGAGCGATATCTCTAACAAATGAAAACAAAACTGGTGCATAATTTTTTTTCCAAGATTAAATGCTGCTAACAAAGTCAAAAGAGAAATAAAAATGATACTTGTAAAAATTTTGGGTATGTCGGAAACAAGGTGGAAATTTGATAAACATTATCTGCCATTCGGAAATGATTACGAATTAACAAAGTAAAAATCTGAAAAATAGAACTTTGTATAGTTTTTGTCCGCGAATCAAAAATGCTCGCAAACACAGTGAAAATTTGATACACACGAAAAAATATGACATAAAGGTAACAGCTGTAAAGCTAGTACTTGTCTAATAACCGCAGGACAGTTTTCACTGGTGTAGTTAACGTGACCAAAAACCAGTGCAGACTATTCAAATGCCCTGATCCATTGGGAAATAACTTTTTTGTGCAACATAAAAGGCCAAATATGACCTATGTTCAGTAAAATTTTATTGCGTTTTAGAAATTACTATGGAGGATAAAAATGACACTCGTAAACTTTCGACATAATATTTTGAACTAGATATTTTTTGTCTCGACACCTGGATGATCCTTTAAAAAAAATCACAATGCCAAATGACTCGAAACGAAATATTTATAGCCTTCCAAATCGAATAACGTTTACTATATCATCGCATAACAATTTATTGAAAGGTTTTGCGGACATTATTAAACCTTTAGAAGTGCATGATGAAAATAATTTAGGTCTTTGACTGCTTTGAATGCATATTTTCATAATACAAGACTGTAAACATCAATTCAACATCAGGAAACAAAATTTCCAAGTACATGTGTAGTAACGCTGAAATGATAACCAATTCTGGTTGTCATTCGGAGACTTTTAAAGAAATAAACGAAAATAAATGTTTTTCAGTAATTTTGTGTCCTGGAAAAAAAATCTTGACCATGTCCGGTAAAATTTATTTTATTTATACACTAGACCCATCTACCATATATATTTTTAAACAAGTTCGAGAATTCTGCCAGTATCAGCGATAAACAATTTTACATGTAAATGTATACAATAAAAGAAGAATCCAACACTCGCCTTATTAACAGAATAGATGTCCATAGTAAGATAGCTCGCCTTGGACTGAAACTGTAATCGGTAGCCACACACCGTGGACATCTTTGTTTTCAGGTCCTGTAGGAAGGTCACTAGTATCGGTTTGGGGTTTACCCGGGGGAGACAGTGGATGTCCCGAGCCCTCAGACATATATCAGGGTAAGTAAAGTCAGTCAGGGAGAATATCTTATTTAAATATTGATCCAACAGATTTCTTTTTTTCAAATACATCTAAATTTTTAAATTTATTTCATTTAGTTGCGTAAATTTTATTTTTTATTCAAAGTTTGACAATAATGTCCAATCAAGTGATTTTAAAAATGTATAGATTTATGAAAATGACAACAAAAGGGGAAAAAATTGAAAATCATAGAAAGTCTATAGTCTCTTAATATTAGAGATTTGATATATGCATCATTTACAACCAATATGTAAATCAGAAATATATATATACTGATCCATATCGCATCTATTTTTGTTTATTTGTAATCTAATATGTATGAACGTCTAACAGAGAGAAATAAGCAGAAAATGTGCCGACAATTGGAGAGGTCACCAAAGACGAAGCCGTTGACAACTCGGGACTTCGACTTTATAAAACGAATTACTAAAGTTTAATCTCGAAAACATTTATAAATATGGGAATTTTAAATTCTCCTTCATTATTATTTTAATGAATTATATATCGATAAATCCTGTATATCTTCTATCTGTTCCAGCACTGAATATCATGTTCTAGAAATGACACTTCTTCAATGGCGCCGTACGCCATTACGAAGTTCACAACATTCCTACTAGATTCTGTGCGACTTTTAAAAAATGCGTGTTTGTCATTTATTATTTTTTTAAAAAGGTACCTTTCCTAAAAATATTTTATAGGACAGAAAAAAATTGTGATTGATCGGGCATAAACGATTGTTCTTAATGGAGATAAACGCCATTGCATTTGCAGAAAAAAGGTTCCCCTTTCATCTTTCGATCAAGTCCAGGAAATGTGGAGAAAAAAATCTTCCTAAACCCTTTCTTGTGCATATTTGTGCATCCTAAAGCTTTAAATTATACCTTATTAGCTGTCAATTATCCAATTATCTCTTAATTATTTTCTAACAGGTTTAATAGACACTACAAATGAGCCCTTTTATATACACAATAAGTACTTCACTTGACCAGGATTGACACCTATGAAGTCAGAGCAATGGCGCGTAACATCGGCGATCAAAATATGCATATTGAGAAATTCAAACTTTGAATTGCTGAAACATCAAAAATATTAATTTTCAAGCCAAGTTTTTTAAATATATAATTTTATTAGCATGTAAACTTTGTCATATCACAAAATTTTGAGACGTGATAAAAACCCTTTAAGTCAAAAAATAAAAATGTAATTTAACATTTGCTCATGAGCATAACTACATTGTAACGACAAGACGCACACGTGTAACATGATTGTAGTTTTTTGTGACCATTTACTTTCTGCGATTTAGCAATACATGTATGTAACTTTTTTTGGTCTCTGACTCGAATTTATAATATTATATACAGATATATAACTGATATATGAATGAAATCCATAAAAGAAGATGTGACTACTCAGTATTTTACTGAACCAGTGCATTTCTTAGATGGGGTATAAAAGGATATGTAAACACCCGGTCCCCCAGTGGTCTGAAATGGATCTGATAGTAGATAATGCCCTCCTCATTTTCAGGAAGTCGATATCCATACTGTAAAATTAATCCAAATGTCAGCTTTAAAAAAACAACAACAACAAATCAAAAGAAAAATAAACAAACAATTACAAAAAAAAATTATGAAATCTAACTTATTCTAACTTTGATATCCGACATGAGGTACACTTATTGTCAGTGAAGATATAAATTGGTCACAAAATCAGAATACATTCATTTTGATCAAGTGATCTCAACATACGTAGACCTTGACTTACTGAATTTTTCCAGTGGCTTTTGATTTCTTTGTATGATTTGAATGGACCGTCTGCCGGCAGCTGTCGACCAATGCCGACTATCTGTCCCTTTTTCATACTGAGTTTGAAATTTATTAATTCATATTCAATAATTTTAGTTACGTGATTAAAAAGGAACCTTTTTAAATAATAATTTGCAAATATATCAAAAATATATTTTTAAAAAGTGCAGATATGTATTGTATGCTAGCGTACCTCGGTAACACGTGGCACCACGTAGAACCAATAGAATCTCCAGAAATAAAGTCACGATCTTCCGTAAACCTTTTTAGGCTTTGAGGAAGAACTTCAATGTCAGACAGCTACAATTATGAGGACGTCAACTGAGTTGAGCAAGATCACCAATATACATATTTATAATGATACTAATTATCTGAAATCTAATCTGAGTCTTTATATATCTTTTTATGGGTTTGGATTTTGGTGAAAAGCACATTTTGCATCTTACCTGTAGGGCGGGAAACCTGACAGTGGACGCTACGAGGGACAGATGCAGCTGACCAAAAGTGACCACAAGGTCCATTTCTGGGTACAATAGAGTTCAATATTAAAAACTAGGCTCTATGAGTCAAGAAATGAAAGAACGACAACTCGAACTGGAATATGAACTTACTGACGGCATTATCATATCCTTGGTGCGATAGAAAATCTCGACCTAGAGAAGACGTATAAATTTACCTTAGTATCAATAACATAACCACACTCAACAATTATAAAATTGTATTTCTTGTGTAATGTGTCTCTAAACATTACCCTGAATGAGCCACTGCCCAGCTTTGTTCCAGGATGGGGCGATTCTAGCCAGTAGGGTGTAGTGTATACAGGACTGGAACAGTGCTGGGGTCACAGTCTGGGGGTCACTACACTAAATATACAACGTTTAAATAATGTATAACAAACTATGCATCCCCCTTTCCCCTCCTCTGCAATAAATCACCTAAATTCTCTAGGATCAAATTGAAATACATGTACATGTATTTTAAATTTCAATATAAATGTAAATATTTAAGACATTTACTATCTTAAATGAAATAAATACCTGTAAACCGATTTTGGAAAATCTGGCTTGTAACTTCCCATTGTTAAATAACGTCCTCTGAAATGTAGCGAACGAATTTATATTTTGTATTTCAGTGCCTTGAAGTTTTATTTAATTTTGTAGCATTTTTTTTTTTTTTGGTAAATATGTAGTATGTATATAATGCTATATATATTTATTTATAACTTTTTGTCTGAATACGGGATGAAAAAATACCTTCAGTACAACGTGAAATGTATCGTCCGAATTAAATGAAGGTGTTGCAATAATTTCTGGCTCTGTAAATATTAGCTCTCTGTAAAATATTAAAATATTAAACTTGCCTTTTGGCTAAAACTATTTTTTTTTAAAATGTTAATGACGTATTTAGTTAAAAATAGACTAGAGTCATGCCTCCATCCATTTATGCTCTGCATCAAGAAGTTTTACATAAAAGGGGGGGGAGGTAGCTTACCAGAGGCCTGTTCAACAGAGCGAACATTCGCGAGCGCTCGCCAAAACTCTTTATCTCTCCAACAGAAATTCGCGAGCGCTCGCGAACGTTCGCTCTGTTGAACAGGCCTCAGATCATATGCCTCGTTTTATAACTTTTGATCTGGTCATTTCGTATCTGATGTCATTTTGTCTATGTCTGTCTGTCTATCTGTCAACCGAAGACAAGAAGGGGATATATAACTATATATACATATTTATGCCATCTTCACTTTAAACCACTGGAACACAATGACAAAATCCTTTTCAAGTAATATTTTTTAATATGAGTACAGAGAATCAAGTTATCCAATCAATGATTCCAAGTCGGGGTAGTGCTAGGATTTACATATATAAACTTTAAGATTTATAATTATAAAATGGATATTTTTTCGGTTTCAGTTTGAAGTTAGAAATTTTGCCTTGATGATTTCATAATTTTTTTTCCAATCTTGGCCGAGTTGGCCTTAATAAGGAGTGAAACTACAACGGCTTCTCATTCGTTTGCTCTCTTTTATACCTACATGTATAATGATCACGTTTATTGCGGGCACAGAAGGTAAAGACACCCGTGTTCCAACTTTATGAGATTCATAAATTCCTAATAATAATAAACCAAGTATTGGATAGCGGTCTAATTTCTTCTACTTAAAAAACCTACATGCATGCCAGTCTGTTCATGACAAGAAGGTGGGTGCTAGCAGACTGTGGCCCGTTTTACAAAAAAACTTACGATTAAGACCAAAATTTTATTCTGCTTATAACTTCTAATTTCTAATTAAATTGAAAAATGGTTTTAATCTTTTTAAAAGGAATGTAGAAAGATATTTTTTTACTAGCAACTTTAAACAGAATCCTTAATTTTGGAAAATTTTACAATCAACTAAAGTTTTTGGATTTAGTCTTAAGTTCTTTTGTAAAACGGGCCACAGGTGTCCAGGGCTTGTACATATCTAGGTCTATAATAGTCGATGGTCTAGTTTACCCCGAAGACACTTGAAGCTGAATATTTAAGTTCAACTTACCTGCATCGGATAATGTGAGGTTGAAGATTTGATAAAATATGGGTGTTTCTTGTTATGCATACGGTAATTGCAATCAATTCTTCTAAGGGGGGACACTCGGCCAAAACAATGACAGGTGTGGAAATATTATCTTTACCGTACATCTTGACATATTACATAGAAGTTCAGTACCAAAACAAAACGTCTGCTATATATTTGATGGATATTATTGGAATCTCGTTCCCGAAAAGATTTAAATTTATTATAATTAATATAAAGCATGAAAACAAATAGATGTAGAAAGACAGAAATAAATCAGACAAATAAATAAACAGATAAATAAATAAATAAGTTAATCAAAAAAAGCTTTTAAAACGTGCTGTTTAGAAAGGATTTTTTTGTGATTTGATCTGATCTAGTTTGTGAACTTCTTTCAGAGGGAATGTTCTTTTAATTCAATGACTGAATTCTTTGGTGTTCGGTATATATATCATCTCTTCACTTGCTTGACGGATGTAAAATTACTGTTGAGGTTATCCTATTATAACCCATCTTAAAACATACATTAATACCCCGGACTAACCGACCTCTTACTGTTTCCAATTTCAAATGAAAAGAAAACTTGGCAAGAAAAATCACGTTTATTGAAGTTTTCCTGAGTAAAAATGTTACATTATGAATACATGTATGTGTACATCTGAAGGCTTTTAATGTACATACAAAATATGTTCGATAATCAAAATGAGTATACGTGTACATACGTAACATAAACTTCTGTATGCATGGGTATTCAATGTTTAAATAAACTGATAGTATAAAATAAAATTCGACTATTTTGTATGCTTTGGGAAGGTATAAATATCATGTTAGCAAAAGCAGATTTAATTTCATTTTTAGTGCAGATCTAGAATAAGTTTTATACATACATGTATAAAATAGAACATGATCTTCGGACGTACACACAAAATAAAATAATTATATAGGTAAAATAAAATATGCCAGAATTTCTAAAATAGCTATTATTTTTGTCTATTGTGCGTCACTAGTCTCTAGATAGATTTCAAAGAGTTCTTGTATTTTGTTAAACATCTTTTACATGCAAAAAAAAAATAATAATAATAAATAAATAAAATAAAAAAAAAAATTATGCCGACCTGTCTGAGTATGTCAGTGCCCATATGATTTTACAATATACGTAAAAATAGCAGTAAAAATTAAAGAATTAAATATCATGTCATGCACTGTGACATTTCAAACCTAACAAAAATATTGAAAATTTTGAAACATTACTTAAAAGCTGAAAACCAAAATACGGATGTGACCGAGATGCATATTTTGTCAAACAAGGTACGGCATTGACAATTTTAATCTTCGTCGTTTCGGAGAGGTTTCTCTTCCATTTTGCCATTGATAACAGTTTTATCGCCATTCACAGCCAATGTTATATCGCCCCTTTTCGACACGTCCTCTTTGGGTATATTGGCATACTTATCCCGATTACATCGTTTGTAGATAAGATAGAAAATGGTTATCACGAAGAGAGGTAAGGGTGTCATTACTCCTGACGCTATGGGTGCCACGGCCGCAATTTCACCATCCGGTGGCGGGAAAGCCGTGAACATAAGTAGAATAGCGATACCCTGGTTCTGAATCCCAGTCTCAATAATGATTGTTTTAACCTTGGTCCACGACTGACGCAGAATCAGACAAATAATTCCTGACAGCACATAACCACAGTACGGAAGTAAAGCACCAGCAAGTATGACTTTAGGCTCAAAGAACTTAAAGATAAACAAGTTTGTGTAGATGCCCACTGATAAGAGGATGATGATGGCGATGATTGTGACGGGGGTGATGATCTTCATCAGGATCTTAGTAAGACGTGGTAACTTGTACTTAATGAAGACCCCTACTAGTAATGGCACGACCAAAACCACCAGGGTTGTGAAAATGTTCAGGAAGGGTATGTTCATGGTCGTGTCAGTACTAAGTTCCTTAATGAAAACTTGACCTAGCGTGTAGATCCACAGCGGCATCATTGCTGCAAGTAAAGACAGTCAATCTTAATTTACTCACAATTAAAGCATTTAAATAGGTATTTTCATTGTGTTGTTGTAAAGAAAACGAGGGGAAATGATATAAAAACTCGTTTACTAGATTTTGTAAAATCAGTTTCAATACCTAAGGCTGCAATTGTACTGATGGTTGTCATAGTGATTGAGAGTGACAGATCCCCATCCAGTAGATGAGAGTATATATTGCTAACTCCGCCACCTGGACACGCACCGGAAATGAAAATCCCCAGACCCATGGCATGATCTTCTGGAATTACCAGCTTTGCAATGCCAAATGCAATCTAAACGCCAAAGTAAGATGTTATTTTTTTTCCGACAAAAATTAGAATTAGACATACAAAACTACAATTTATTTTGCAGCTGTAATGATGAGTCTGATATGGCTCATATGAAGATGGACGAGTACTGTACCAGTTCTACTATATCTGACATAACCTTCACTTTGCTCATTTAAATTTCTTAAGTTTTATCTACGGATCAAATGACCGCCTTGTTGTATTCGGGGTGGAGAATGAGAGCAAAGCAGATAAATAGACTAGTAATAATTCAGTAAAATTCAGTTTTTATCAAGTAACTTCATAGTACCTATACCCCCTTTCCCCCACAATTTGCGTGATCGATTATGCCGAAAACTCGGATTTACTCAAAACTTTCTTTACATTTGATGAGACAATGAATCAGCCACAGCTAGGAACTGAATACTCTTTTATGACATGTACATAGATGTTAAATGATATGTTCTTACCAATGGCATTAGGATATACTGACATCCGATTCCGATCGCTGGAGCAACAGGACGCCGCAAGTTCTCCTTAACCACCTCAAGGTCCAGCTTACATCCAAAGGCCAAGGTTATGAAAACTAAGAAAATGTAAATAACGATACGGAAAATCGTATCAAACACTCCCAGTTTTCTAAAGACAACAACATGATACATGCTATAGTCTTCAACAGACTCGTTGTGTTGCATATTTTCTATCTTACGCAGTTCAAAGGCCAGAAATGTCCGTCCTATGAGTTCCCCGTAAAGGTTAAAGGTTAAATTTCCTCGAATGCCTTTGCGATGAATCACGTGATAAAGTGGGGAGGCTGTAGATGCACCTTTGTCCATGGGGAAACCATGTGGTCCGTCTGTAACGTTTACCAAAATTTCAGTAGCATTTCCACAGGAAATGATTGTGCTGTCCGTTTGTCTGACGGTGAATACCTTTTCTCCTTTACTAAATATTCTTAATCGGTATTTTTCGCTACTGTGATTACAATACAAGGTATATTCTACATTGAACGTAGTCTGTTGATACATCATTAGAACAAACGGTTGATGCGGTCCCCACTTCAACTCAAAGTGTTTCTGTGTACGATTTGGCATTTTTTCTTCAACAACATATCCTCCCCTGGCCTTCACACTTATCACTGTCACCAGAACTAATGAACAAACCACTTGTCTCATAATTTGTAACATCGCATCAAACTAGCACTATTTCACTTTTGAGTGTTTTTTGGTGTAAAACGAAGTTTGTTGTGGTAAATCAGCCGATCGTGTAATCTTCTTTAGAAGTCTGTACGATAGAAGGTGTCATGTGTACCTGATATCAGGTAAGTCATATATGTAATTTAATCCAATCAAATTCTGCTTTAAATACATTGGCCCAACTTCATGGACTGTTAAACTCAGAAGCTGAAAGATATCTCTAACATAAACAAATTCTTCACTTGATTAAGATCCTATCTAATTCTTAGACTGTTTTTGTTTACCAGTTTTTGTTTACCTGTTTGGAATGTTTATGGCATTTGATTTTCAAACTGGACGCTTTTAACATTCAAACTCTACTTACATTGAAGAACCCTAGAAAAAAATGATGTAAGAATTACTTAATCAGTGAGATTGGAAATTCTATAAAATGGCTCAGACATTTTCAGAAAATTAATGTCGTATTGCTTCAAGCCAAGAAAATCAAAATATATACGACAAAAATACGGAACCTCAAGGACACCTACATCAAAGAGAAGTACAAATATATACACAGACTGATCACTATGTATATATGAATATTCATACATTTTTCTGAAGAGGTTAAATTATAAAGAAGGTGCATATATAATGTATTTTTATCATATACAGTGGAGCATTATACAATTCAAGAGAGGAGAAACAATATTCCAGGCTTTGAAAAGTTTTCCCTTCATTGTAAGTAAAATATTGTGTTTCTGTAGGCCAGTCGATCTATTTAAATTTGTTAAATCGCATTTAACCTTGGATTTGTTATAATTTATTCTCAGTTTATATCAATGACAGCTGTAAGATATCAAATATATGCAGATGTTGTGGTAGCAAAAAAAAAAAAGAAAAGAAAAAAAAAAAAGAAAGAAAGAAAGAAAAGAAATGAAAAGAAAAGAAAAAACAAACAAACTGACATCTCAAGTTTGCAAACAGGCCGTGAAGTGTTTTTAGATACTGTCACCTGGTTTATATTTCCAAATGTGTATGTTTAAACAAAATCATGTTAGTCTCCCTGACATAAGGTGTCCACTCGTGTTTTATTTACTTATCACAGGGCCAATGTTTGTACAGCCAGCACATTCTTTTATGGCAAACAATGATATTTTAATGACAGGTTTGAGTTTTCACTGACCGAGCAGAAAAGTGCAAGGGAAACTTTATGCAAACGACAGTTTTAATGAGTCAGATATTTGATCCCACAGTAAAGATGTTAGTGGTCAACTCTGGCAGACAAAATTTGGGGTTTCCCTGGTCAAAAAAAAATAAAATAAAATAAAACTCAAATTCCCTTATTTTCAAGCTTTTGGGTATATACATATAACCTTGGTGGTCATCCGAGTTTAATCAGTTAACCATTTGCATGAGCCCTACCTAGTGTTTCGCGGACTCTGAACGTCACAATTCTGGTAGAGAACGTCTTCAAAGTTCAGTATGATAGTACTACATAGTACATACCCAGAGTAATGTGATTCTAAAAGGTGAATTAATGTATTCAATTATATGATCAACTTACAGTCCCATCTATAGGGCCCTGTTTCCGAACAAGAGACATGGATTTAAAACTTTGGTGAACTCAACGTAGCTCATCTTCACCATGAACACAGTTCAGCAAGATGTCCAGAAGTCAAAGAATAAGATTATTTAAATATTATATGTCCTTTCTTTATGGTCATATATATATATGAGGCGCCGTTTTGGTATTTACTGCCAAAAAGTGATATCACCTATTCGAATAGGTGATATCACCTATTCAATTGGTGATATCACCTATTCGAATAAGTGATATCACCTATTCAGCTTCTGAATAGGTGATATCACCTATTCGAATAGGTGATATCACCTATTCGAATAAGTGATATCACCTATTCGAATAGGTGATATCACCTATTCGATTTGAATTGGTGATATCACCTATTCGAATAAGTGATATCACTTATTCGAATAGGTGATATCACCTATTCGAATAGGTGATATCACCCATTCAAATAGGTGATATCACTTATTCCTTTTGAATAGGTGATATCACTTATTCGAATAGGTGATATCACCTATTCAAATCAAATAGGTGATATCACCTATTCGAATAGGTGATATCACTTATTCGAATAGGTGATATCACTTAATCATTTTGAATAGGTGATATCACCTATTCAAATAGGTGATATCACCTATTCAAATTATTTATGAAATAACAACTGCTCCCAAGACTATAGCTTTAATTCTCATTTACTTCCACTTTCGTTTTATAACTTACCATTCTTGCAGACAATGGATTACAGCTTCGCATTTAGTTTTAAGCACCCCAGTAGAATTTGTTGTTTGTTTTGTTCACAAATTATATTTATTACACTTATCTATCATGTATACTATAGGAAAATTCAAAGGGTCTGTAAGTCTCGTTGACTTTCACTTTCGTTTTATAACTCCCGGGTACCTGAGCGTTCTTGGAGACAATGGATTACTTAAGTTGTAAGCATCGCAGTGGAATTATTAAACTTGTAGTTTGTTTTGATCCCCGATTGTTGCAAAGAAGAGGAGAAAGTGGATTGATAGATGCAGGTAAATAGCGTTTAATTGCTTTATTTTTTCATTACATAACGTAAACACAAGCTATTCCGAGGGGGCCAAGATTAGCCAACATACTTAAGCAGAAGGGGAAATTTAAATCGTTTTTATGCTAAAATCGTCTGTATTCAAAAGGTACGCTTATCTACAGATTGGTTTCATTAATTCAAAGCATTGACTTAGCTTACAGTGGTATAATTTGGAGTATTGGACAGGTATACATGAGTTTGGGATATTGAATGCGATGTCATTGAAAGCAAATAAAAAAATAGATGTACCCAAATGCATCGACCATGGGAATACAAAGTTGAATACCACGTCTATAACATATGATCTTTGTAGAAAACACATTCTTTTTTTTTTTTAATTACTACAATAAATAAAAATGGTCAGCTCATTCTGTAGGCTATAAGCTGCCCTGTCTATTCGGAAATAAAAATGGTCACACACACTCAAAAAATAATCATTTTTATTCTACAAAGAAGAAGGCATTTTTTTCTTTTACACATACAAACTGTATTAACCGCCAAGTTTCATGACCCCCCCCCCCCTTGCCAATACTCCTACAATTATGAGACAGACTTTTTTTCTTGAAATAGGCATTTTTCTCCATTTGTCATTATATATTACAGGGCTGCACAAGGTACTGAAAAAGGGACAGTGCTTTGAGTGAATGTGTTATCCATGTATCTGCAAATGAAGCAGATCCCCCAGTGAAGAGTGTGACAACTTCCAACTTCCAAGTTGTTAATGACGGAACTCCATTTAAATCAGGTACAGGTCAAAGTTTTGGCTGCACATTTCTTTTACAATATTCAAAACATAATAATTCAGGATCAAGTTCACACAAGCTCACATTCCATGGTTACTTACAGCACCATTATGCTAGATAAATTTGTTATGATACACTTTCATGTTGAATAGTCAAAGGACTATATTCTGTAGTGGCCAGTATCTGCCCCCCAAATAAAACTTTGATGGAGAAATCTTTAATTATGTTCTAAACCAGGTGGATATTTGCAGACTTCAAAGCATTAAATATTTTTATCAACTATGACATCATTAGTTAGATATGACGTCAATAAAATGGCGTAAATTCCAAATTGCAATGATTTTGAGAGAAAATAGCGTATTTTACGTCGGTATTTTGATTGGAAATTATCGAGCGCAGGTCTGCTCAGACTAGATCTTTTGATATAATGTGTAGAATGATAATATCAATGAAATATGTGAATATGATACCTGAGCAAGCTTGCGCTCTATAAATACTATAGTCTAAATTGAACAAGCTCTGTGCATTTTGGCCTCTATTTTAAAAATAACGGAAAATCCAAATAGTTTGTGACGTCACAGAGACAAGAAAAGCCAGCTAATTTTTCCAATTTCATAATATATTGTCTTAATTTGGATTATTTTATACAATATATGCACTTTTTCTCATTTCAAGAGATTTTCAAAATTTGACTATTATGGGGGCAGGAATACGCCCTTACCATATATAGTTCTTTGATTGGTTTAAAAAACATTTGTTAACAAGTACTATTACCATACTGTATGCCAAACATTACATCCCAAATGGTTGAAAATGCATGACTACGGGTAACAGTATATACAGTAATAAAAAATGTTAACTGTGCAGAATGTTTGCACATTTGTTTCACCTTGATGTTTTCTTTAAAATGCATTTTATGACAAGAAAAATATTACCTGTTTATTTTGGGTGATGTAGAATTCTTACCCCTTAAAAACCATTGCTGACCGAGGCGAGGTCAGCGATGGTTTTTGTGGTATAACAATTTCACGTTATCCTACTAAACATGTAATATTTTTATGTTATATGTACTTCTATTTGTAAATGTTAATGACTGTGAAAAACATAAATATTTATAAATTAGTAAAATCAATTTAATACACTATAAATACACAAAAGGACAAATTTGTACATAATTCTCTATGATTAGGTTAATTAGTTTATATAAAGGATGTAAATGGGCATGATATATCATTGTTAATATTCAAGAAAGTGTTAACTGTCTTTCTTGTAGATGCTCCTTTCCATCTGATGTTTTCCAGGTTTTTGTGAAAAGTTTTCTTAAAAAATGGCACCATTCAACCACAAATACTATGCCAGTGGAACTGTGATATCAATCAACTGCTTATGACACTGTTAATTGGCAGAGAAATTATTTTTTTTTTATTTGGGACAAGCAATCTGTTTCAAACATTTTATGCCTGCAAATTGGTACATGTACTTCATGAAATGCTTGAAGGATGCTAAAGGCTACTGAAATTCCAAGCCAGATGAAATTCAAAAGGATTGATACAAAAGTCATTTGAAGTTTTCTATTCTTAGTGATGAGTATTTTTCAGGATGCCCTCTGACATCATAGCTACAACTGGTCACTGTCCTCTGTTAGTTACACATGCAGACATCTTATTAAGGCAGTGATATAAGTAGCTCGAAGTGGATGCTTTATTGTTTTCCTCAGATTTATAACCTGGATTGATCTCTGATGCAGTAATTTAAAGCCATGTCTTTTCACTGTCACAAAGTACTGAAATAAAAATAATTTTGATTAAAATATTTTTTTTTAATTCATATCATTAAATTTTTAAGCTACAGAAATTCAAATTTATTACCTATTAGTAAATAGAAATCTTTAATTGATTAGCAAGCCTTTGCATTGTCAGATCCTTTTCTGAAAGGACCATTTACCTTTAACAACGTCAGGACAGGTGAGACAACTGGCTGGTCTTCATGCTG